AATGTGTGCGGCGCTAAGGCGAGACGCGCGTTTTGAAAAAGAGCCGCCCTCCAGCCTTGAAGTTGCTGCAAACTTTCAAGACGAATGTGCACGGCGCTAAAGCGAGGCCACATTCTGAAAATGACCCGCCCTCCATCCGTGAACACGCTGCATTTGTCAAAACGAATCTCCGCAGCGCGCAGGCGAGGGCCACGTACAAGAAGCGGCTCGCCCTCCCAGCTGTGAAACTGCTGCAAGCTTACAGAGAGCATGCGCGGCGCTCATGCGAAAGCCACACTCTGAAAGCGAGCCCGCCCCCCCATCCGCGATTCTGCTCCATGTTGAAGTACGGGTATGCGCAGCCTTGGTTTCTTGTGCCGAGGGGTCGTGGCCTCTCATACGGTGGAGGCGTCTGCTAAGGACTGGTCCCAGAAGGCGCTTCAGACCTTGAGGATTTCTTATTCAATGAGGGCGGCGGTGATATCCATGGCCGGTCCACGATGAGAGTTCCACTCGCTTCCCGACCCTGGATTCCTTACCTAAGGATCCCTTGTCCAGTGCCCACGCTGTGCTCCTGACTTTGGCGGGCTCGCCAGGCCGAGTGCCCCCGACCTCTCCAGCCCGAGTCTGCCGCGGTGCTTCCCGGAGGCCCCGCGGAGTACCCCCCGGGAGGACCAGAATGCTTTTTTTAGATTGAAGTCGGGCCTGTCCCTCTCTACAGGGGGGAATATTCAAAAATAGTCCAAACATCGTATGGGGACGATTTTTCGACTCTGTTTGATAATTTTCGACTATCTTGTCTATCTTTTATTTTCCGTCCAAAATCCGCCTGTAGGGGGACACGCCCGACTCAATTTTAGCCCCCCCGCCATGAGCTCCCAAAGGCACGGTGGCGGGATGAGTCGCAGACCACTTGCTGGAAGGCGGCCTGTTGAAATTCACGCTCTCGCTACTGCAGAGCTGAGTTGCGACATCTTCGACATCCGTCAATTCGTTGGTGTCCCCAGGCGTGTGATGTTCTTACCCTCCCATGATCTCTTCATGCGGGGGCCCGGATTGCAGTTCCGACGGGGTTGCCCTAATTTTATCCTGTGTCCGCATGGGGGTCTCCGTGGGGGGGGGGGTCATGGGTGCACCAGTGACCCAGCCGGCGGGCTTTGTGGGGCCATCTTCTGGCCATGAGATCCATGACATGGCAACTAGCCCTATATTTCATAGGCCCCAACGGAACTCGGATTAATCTCGAGGCAGAATTTCCACCAGGGCCAACAACGGAAGATCCGTTCAAACTGGGGGCCTGCTGAGGCTCCAACAACTAACGCTCGAATTGACAGCGCTTCCTGAGAGAGAGAGAGAGAGAGAGAGAGAGGCGAGGCGCGAGCCTGGCTCCCTATAGGCTCAAACATTGGACGACGTACGACGCCCGAGCCGTTCAAGCACCGCCCAAGGACAACCCTGCCCCCTACACACAGCCCCATTTCCCACAGCGGCCGGACCAAGGTTCCTGGGGGAAGGGTCAGGTGAGCGGCAGGGGTCTCACACGTGGGGGAGCCCCAAGGGGTCCGAATTGCGCCTGTTTCGGTGGCTCACGTGATTTCCTTCCCTGTGTGCCGCTCGTGAGCATCACGAGCGGCGGCCATTGGGTTGCAATGCGCGATGAATTTTCGATGGTGGCCTTTGGGGTGACGATTCTTGGTATGAGGCCCAGGAGTAGGGCGGTGGGGGGGGGACGAGGATAAGGAGGTGGTCTCTGGAAATCTGCACAGGTCTCCAGGGGTCTCCTGGGGGCCCACAGGGCAAACCATGGTCAGACGTCAAGAAGGGAAACGTGGAGGAGGAGGGGTGGGGAGGGGGGGGGGTGGAGGGAGAGGAATATGGAAGATGAGGAGGTGGAGGTGGACGAAGGGAGGGAGGGAGGGAGGAAGGGATGGTGAGAGTGGGAGGAGGATGAGGAGAAGGAGGAGGAGGAGGAGCAGAAAGAGAAGGAGGAGGAGGAGGAGAAGGAGGAGCTACGGAGCTATGGATGTTGCGACTGTGTCGGATGTTACACGTTAGATTGCCTTTCGTCGGGCCTGCTCAGCTTTGATGCAAGCCTTCAACCAGACTCCCCGAGCAGCTCTAAGGAGGTACTACTTTCGATTGCCCGTGGCCTGTTTTGGACATGGGTCTCCCTGCTCGGCCAGCTCTTGAGCCGCAAAGCTCCCACATTATCCACATAGCCAAATCCCCAGCCCAGCGTGAACTGATGGGACGGGTCCGCCCACCCCCAACCCATTCGCAACTTGCAACGGTAGGGAGGCTCAGAGACAACGCCACCTGTTGTCCTTAGGTCGAAGCCTGGGGTACCCAACCACACTTTTTTCCTAGCATTGGTGGTCGAGCTTCTACGCTGCAAACAAGACTGGCTGTTTTCTGAGAGGCGATGCTGGGTCGAACGCATGTGACCGACCAATGGTGCAGGGAGGCATGTGCCCAGGGGGTGCCCGACACGGGCTCCTCCCTTCCCCGCGGAGGCGAGGCT